CTGAATTCAGTTTGAAGTCACTGAATTCAGTGATTTCAAACTGAATTTTCAAACTGAATTCATTTGAAAATTCAGTTTGACGACTTTTATTTTCAGTTCTATAATTCAGTTTCCAAGTCCCACATCCGGGTCCTTGAGAACGCCTCGGAGTAATCCAACGCAGATTCACGGGTGTACGTTCTACGGGTGTACGTTCTACGGGTGTACGTTCTACGGGTGTACGTTCTACGGGTGTACGTTCTACGGGTGTACGTTCTACGGGTGTACGTTCTGGGTTCCACCAGGTCCGTTTGTGTTGGTTTGTCTCTAATAGCAGCAGCTGATCATGGTCATGTGGATTTGTGAATGAACTATCAATCAATCAATCAATCAATCAATCAATCAATCAATCAATCAATCAACCTTTATTTAGACAGGTAAATCCTGTCTAAATAAAACTAAATAAATACTCATAAAAGAACAGAACCTGTTTAGGAAAATGGACCGGGTCCTGACAGAAACTGAACAGAGCAGCAGTTTTACTGGAACTGTTCCAAGTGAAAACGGTTTTAACGACTTTAATGTAGTTTATTTTCTTTGAGCCTCTTCGAGATGTTCGTATCTTCTGAAGACTTTGGGTCAGAAGTTTTGGTGTTTCGTCTGAAAATGTGTGTGTCCGCCCGACGTCTCCGGCTCTGAACAGAAACGCTCACGTGATTAAAGACGATCAGTGAAAATGTCTAAGGGAGCAGCAGACGAGTCTTGAAACGTTCAAGAGGCGACACACCCACCGATTTATGGTGCTTCCTGTGGAGTCTTGAGAAAATTACAAAAATCTAACTTTAAAACACGGTCACAGATAGGTCTGTCACAATAATCAATAAATCAATTAATCTCATGATAAATGAAAAGTATCAACCTCATTTTCATTTATCAGCTTTATCGTTTCTTCATGTCTCTCTTTCTACTGAAGACACTCGATGACAAAAGGCTCCGGCGCTCTTCACTGACTCCTCCCTCTCTTTAAAATCCACTTAACCGTCTAAAATCATGTTTCTGTTTCGTTAAAAGCAGCTAAGCTACGTGCTAAGCTACGGGCTAAGCTACGTGCTAAGCTACGAGCTAAGCTACGTGCTAAGCTACGGGCTAAGCTACGGGCTAAGCTAACAGGCCGACCTCGAGAAAAAACCTCCGTCTTGTCGAAGCTCCAAAATTCACAGTTGAAACTCGTGCCTTTGTGTAAAAAGTTGTTTTTCTCTGCAAAAAGAAGCTGAGAACTTGTTGACTGATTTTTTTAATTAAAAGCTTTGTGTGAAAAATGCTAAAGAGCTCAAACCACCGAGCGTCGGCCATGTTGAGAACCGATTAGCCACAAATATTTTGCCTCAGCTGTTAAACAAAATGTCAAAAACCCAAACTTTGTTTGACAAGCGGAGGTTTACGTCAGATTTCTGCTCTTTTCATTTGTGGAGCAGAAAAGGTTCAGAACCAGATTTAAACAGACGGTAAGTTAAAAAAACAAAAGTCCTGAAAGGTCAACTCACTCGACTTTAGTTGCTGACCTTCATGTTTTACCCGCTTCCTGCTCCCACACCTGATTCAGTGGTTGGGCACCTCCTCATGTTCTGCAGACGCCTGTTGGTCTCCACTGACTCGGATCAGAGGAACATCTATGCAGGACAGTGGTCCTCCAGGACCTGGACCGGACTGCCCTGGTTTAGAACTTTACCAGGAAACTGAAAGAAACAGAAACTGGGACTGAAATAACCTTTTTATTAAACACTGACAGATTCAAGTTGACTTTAAACGAAGTGCACGAACTCTGAAGCTTCGATTTAAAGTTCTAGCAGCAACACCTTGAAAGACTCGACACAAACAACGGTCGGTACCGAGGGTCCGTCTGAAGCTTTGAAATGCGTCCAGTGAACGTTGAGGCTTCCAGGAACATTTTACTCGTAAAAACTTTAACATCGAACACGGACAGCGTCCATCTGTTTGTACGTTCCAGCTCCAGAAGCTCAGACTTTGAGCTGAAAGCTGGTTTGAAGGCGAGAAGAAGAACAGAACTCTGCGGGCCCTGCAGGTCCTCCCTAGTCCCTGCCCCCCTCCACCATCTTGTACTTCTGTCTGCAGGACGAGAGCAGAGCCAGCGGCGACAAGAACACGATCGGAACCGTCGTCTGGACGTTCCTCTCCAGGAAGTTGAAGATCAGGTTCCACCAGGTCCTGGACAGGAAGTTGTTGGGAGCCTGACGCAGCTCCTGAACAAAGACTCAAAGTTAAAGACCAGAAGCTTCACGAGGACCGGCCCACCAGCAGGTGGACTTACGTGGGAGTTGGCCATGGTGTGGTACCACCAGAACATCCTGGTGGTGACGAAGTAGGCGACCACCACGTCGATGCTGTAGTGCTCATGAGCCACGAGGATGCAGACGACTCCGGAGGCGCTGAGGATCCAGCAGAACCAGTGGTACCACCACATCCACGGAGGCGAGTCTGAACACAGAACATCAGGTTACAGCACCGACACCGACCCGTTGGGATCTTCTAGAAGCTGCTGCCCTCACGATCAGCTGAAAACTTCATGTCTCTACGACTGGAGTCCTCTGTACCTGCTGCTGCCCCGGCCTCCAAATGACTAATCAATAACAAAAATCAATAAATGTAAAAAACATTAGTCTAAATTAATTTCATTCCAAGGATCTCAACAGATTTTTACTTCAGCTCTAAAACTACGACCGTAGAAACTGAAGACCTTTTTATAAATGTTTAAAAACCAGTGACGTGTGGACACTGGTGTTGACGCTGCAGTGCATTCTGGGTAAATGACGTAGACGGGCTGCTCCGGTGCGAGCTCCGTCCAACCTGAACGTTGTTGTGGACATGATCTGACGTTCAGACCTTCATCCTGAACCGGAGCACGATGGAGAGGAGGATGAAGAAATGAGTCAACCTGCAGCTGAAGAGGACGAAGACTGAACGATGAAGAGGACGAAGACTGAACGAT